GTGGCCTGTTATAAACTAGTCAGGGGGGGTCAGCAGGCATTGGGGGAGTCCCTGTTCCCCCGAGCACCACCAGGAGTGACCAGGAACAACGGTCACAAGCTGGCAGAGGGTAGATTCAGACTAGATATCAGGAGGTGCGACTTCACGGTCAGGGCGGCTAGGGTCTAGAACCAACTTCCAAGAGAGGTGGTGCAGGCTCCTACCCTGGGGGTTCTTAAGAGGAGGTTAGATGAACACCTTGCTGGGGTCGTTTGACCCCAGTACTCTTTCCTGCCATGGCAGGGGGTCAGACTAGATGATCTGCTCAGGTCCCTTCCGACCCTAGAAACTATGAAACTATGACAAGGGAAAGAGATTTGGCCTCCTATATGTTCATTTTGTTCAGCCTACATCTGAGTGCTATTTGTTTTTCTTCAGGCACAAAATGTTTGTAAAAAAATAAAGATGAGAACACAAAACAGCAAATATGCGGAGCATTCAACCAGACCCAAGAATGGCGAGCACTCCATCAAACAAGGACAAGACACTTGCTTCCTCTGGAGGGTTTTCAGACAACTGCAAGGCTTTTTGTCGCCATCCAGATGCAATGCAGCACGTTCATAGCAACATGGCAGCTTCCAGGATGCTGCTCTCTGCTGCGATGCTTGCAGGCTGCACAAGGACACAGGCAAGCAGTGACTGGAGCCCTCATAACTCCTCCAGACTGCCGGCTCTTTGGGGCAGTCATTGACTATGTTGAGCAGAAACAAGGTTCCTTGGCCTGTAAACTGTAGGGTCCCCACCATGGGCCTGCACCATGATGTCGATCCATGGATAAATCCACAGTGCCACTCCCTCCCATGAGTCCAGCTTGACTCTAGAGCCTCTGCTGACCTGCAGGACCTGGAGCCAACCTCAGCCTTGCTTGCCTCCTCACTCATCCTCCCTGTAGCATGCTTGGAGCTTGCCCAGGCACGCAGATGCAAGCAAAGGGAAACAACCAGCAGCAATCCCATAAGTGACTGACTTCTGGCCCTTCTGCATATCATTTCCCATCTGCGCTGCCAACAGCTAGAGCCAAGCACACGTGGAAGGACAAAGGAGTCC